AAGTGAAGGTAAATTTGGAAGCCATAAATGTCATTTTGAGTACTGGAATTGAATAAACCTCACAGCTTACTTTATTTCAGCATGTAATAACATTACAGCTGTAAACACCCTCTTGTAATTATTTATGAAAAACAGACGAGAAATGCTCAAGTTAACTTTCATCGGCAGGTTTTAATTTACCTTCACTTCTGCCCTCGAAAACCAACCACATACAGAGGAGGCAATGTTCCTTCCTGGCAGTATGAAGAGATCAAAGGGATTGCAAATTTTAATCAAAATATAAAATACAGAAATACAAAGAAAACAAAGATAATGTGAAAATAGGGGATGAAAAGGAGAAAGAAAAGAAGTGTTGGGGAAAGGAGAGAAAGAAAGGGTTGACTTCCGACTCCTTTTTGGCATAGTAGAATAAGGTAATAAGACAAAACCTTGACTTTTTACATTTATATAATACTATATACTAGCTGTTTCTATAAATCTACGTAATCAGACAAACCCAGAATCAAAGTTTCATTTTTTTCCCCACCTCAAGCACAAAGTCCAGAAATGGTTTCCAAATAGAAACAAAATTGTGTTCTTTTCTTTAATCAAAGCAGTCAATTTAGCCATCTCTGCTAACTCCATGCTAACTTTTGCAGCCATTCGTCCATTGTAGGAGGTCTGCAAACATTTCTCAGCTAATGACCATTTCTATGTCCAACTTCTTATCCCCAAAGTGTCACTTTAGGAGTTCTAAAGGTCTCCTTTCGGAGCCTTGTGTTGAAAAACACAGGAAGAGCATCACTATTATTTCCTCTTTTCCTTATGGCAATTCAGAGGTAGAGAGCAGGATCTGGGGCTGATGCAATCCACGGCACCACACCTTGTTCAGTGTTACTGAATTCAAGCCTCCTCTAATTCTCCCCAATCCAGATCCTTGCCTGTCATGTCAGACGATGTCGAGAAGAACGAGACTCCTCCAGAGCGAGAGGCAAAGCAAGATGAAGGAGAGAATCAACAGCAAGAGCCGGAGCCAAAAGCTGAGCCGGAGCCAAAGGAAGAGCAGCAGCCACAGCTAGAATCCCCACCCCGTAGCCCCCCGGCACCAGAGGCTCCTCCATCTTCGATGCTAGTGACCGTCACCATCGAAGAGGAGACTGGGGGGGGACCACAACTGAACGGGGATCCCCTGGGGATGAGGGCCGGCTCAGCTGAGGAATTAGGAACCACCCCGGCCCCTCCTGGCAGCCCCCCGGCACGGTCCAAGTCGGCATCGCTGAATGACCTGAAGCCCCAGAACAGCGTCAATGGAGGCCCACGGGCAGTTGTGAGGGGCAGTTTGTCCGGCTCTCAGGTGCATCTTGCAGGCANCTCATTGGGAAAATATTTACATGGAAGCTTTCCAAGATAGATAAGGTCTGTAGCCATAAATATTCCTTTGAAAGACTGTTTGCCAGGCCTTGCTGAATGTGAATGAAAGGAATTCACATTTGTTTAATAAAAGGGATTTTGTCGGGACCAGGACTCTGCCTCGTGCTTTTTGAGGAAGCTTACCGTATTTTTCGTAGTATAAGACGCACCTTTTTTCCTCAAAAAAGAGGCTGAAAATCTGGGTGCGTCTTATACATCGAATATAGCTTTTGCCTCCTGAACCCCCGCCCCTTTCACCAAAATGGCTGTGCATAGCCTTATAGAGTCTTTCAGATAGCTCCTGGGGGCTGGGGAGGGCAGAAATGAGCAAAAAAGGGTCATTTTTTGCTCCCCCAGCCCCCAGCAGACCTCTATAAGGCTATGCATGCAATTTTTTTGATGAAAAACGGACCGTTTTTTGCTCATTTTTTCCTCCCCCATGAGTACTCTGCAAGTCCCAGGCTCTTCATGCCTTTTTTTTTTTTTAAAGGGCCCATTTTCGTGAAAAACGGGCCATTTTTGGGAGGCTTGCAGAGTGAAAAACCTTTTTTTCCCCTTTCAGAAAGCTCTTTAGTTAAAGTAATTGATGAGAATTAGATTGATCAAGTGCTGTGCCAGCAGAAACAAGTCTTAGGTTCTGTAGGTTGTCAGCAATTTCGTTCTCCAGCACATGGATAAATATACCTGGAAACATCTACCTACTCTCCCTCCCTCCCTACTGTATTTCTCTCTCTCTATCCCTCTATCTACCTACCTACCTACCTACTCTCTCTCTCTCCCACCTATCTACTGTATTTCTCTCTTTCTATTTCTCTCTCTTTCTATCCCTCTACCTACCTACATCCTTTCTCTCTCTCTCTCCCTCCCTCCCTACTCTATTTCTCTCTGTCTCCTCTCTATTTCTCTCTCTCTCTCTATCCCTTTATCTACCTACCTACTTTTTTTTTAAAAATTGCCTCTTCAAAACCTTGGTGTGTCTTATACTCCGGTGCGTCTTATACTCCGAAAAATAAGGTAGGTCAGAAGAACTTTAAGGTAACCAGATAAGATATCAATATTAATTATAATTGATAAAGGCCCAGCCTCAGACCTTTACCACTGGTGATAATAAAAAAGTCAAAACTGCAGTCAGGGCATCAAAGCCACACTTGGTCTATTTATTTATTTCCCGACTTTTTTAGTTTTGTACGTAACTTAGGCTGGTATACACACCCAATATTCCTTCTTCCTCTTAATTTCCCCACAGCAACAACCTTGTGAGGTGGGTTGGGCTAAGAGAGAGTGATTGTCCTCAAGCCACCCATCCAGCTTTCATGGCTAAGGGAGGACTAGAACTCACTGTCTCTTGGTTTCTAGCCTGGTGCCTTAACCACTAGGCCAGGGATGTCAAAGTCCCGGCCCATGGGCCAGATGCATCACACACTGGCCACCCCTCCCCCGGTTTAGTGAAGGGGAGAAAGTCACGATATATCATGTGATAATGCGAGTTTGACACCCCTGCACTAGACCATATATACATACATATGGTATATGTGTGTGTGTGTGTATGTATATATGTATGTATGTATATATACATATACATATACATATACATATACATATACATATACATATACATATACATATACATACATACATACATACACACANCCGGTGGGGCTTAATTTACCTTCACTTCTACCCTCGAAAACCAATCACATACAGAGGAGGCAATGTTACTTCCTGGCAGTATGAAGAGATCAAAGTGATTGCAAATTTTATTAGTTGATCAAAATATAAAATTCAGAAATACAAAGGAAACAAAGATGATGTGAAAATAAGGGAGGAAAAGGGGGAAAGAAAAAAAAGTGTTGGGTAAAGGAGGAAAAAGATGGGTTGACATCTGACTCCTTTTTGACACAGTAGAATAAGGTACCGTATTTTTCGGAGTACAAGATGCACCTTTTTCCCTCAGAAAAGAGGCTGAAAATCTGGGTGCGTCTTATACACTGAATACAACATTTTTTTGCTTGAGGAAACCCCACCCCTTCACCAAAATGGCCGTGCATAGCTTGTAGGAAGCTTTGAGAGAGCTCCTGGGGGCTGGGGAGGGCAGAAATGAGCAAAATATAGGCTGTTTTTGGCTCATTTTTGCGCCCCCCCCCCCAGGAACACTCTACAAGCCTCCTAAGGCCTATTAATGCCCTTTTTTTTAAAAAAAAAAAACAACAGGCCAGTTTTCACGAAAAACGGGCTGTTTTGGGGAGGTTTGCATGGTGCAAAAACTTTTTTTAAAAATTTGCCTCTTCAAAACTTTGGTGCGTCTTATACTCCGGTGCGTCTTATACTCTGAAAAATACGGTAAATAACACAAAATATTGACTTTTTACTTTTATATAATACTATATAGTAACCGTTTCTATAAATCTACCCAATCAGCCACACCCAAAATCAAAGTTTCATTTTTTTCCACCTCAAGCACAAAGTCCAGAAGCGGTTTCCAAATAGAAACAAAATTCATTGTGTTGTTTTCTTTAACCAAAGCAGTTGATTTAGCCATCTCTGCTAACTCCATCAACTTTTGCAGCCATTCATCCATTGTGGGAGGTCTGCAAACATTTCTCAGCTAATGACCAATTCCATGTCCAACGTCTTATCCCCAAAGTGTCACTTTAGGAGTTCTAAAGGTCTCCTTTCGGAGCCTTGTGTTGAAAAACACAGGAAGAGCATCACTATTATTTCCTCTTTTCCTTATGGCAATTCAGAGGTAGAGAGCAGGATCTGGGGCTGATGCAATCCACGGCACCACACCTTGTTCAGTGTTACTGAATTCAAGCCTCCTCTAATTCTCCCCAATCCAGATCCTTGCCTGTCATGTCAGACGATGTCGAGAAGAACGAGACTCCTCCAGAGCGAGAGGCAAAGCAAGATGAAGGAGAGAATCAACAGCAAGAGCCGGAGCCAAAAGCTGAGCCGGAGCCAAAGGAAGAGCAGCAGCCACAGCTAGAATCCCCACCCCGTAGCCCCCCGGCACCAGAGGCTCCTCCATCTTCGATGCTAGTGACCGTCACCATCGAAGAGGAGACTGGGGGGGGACCACAACTGAACGGGGATCCCCTGGGGATGAGGGCCGGCTCAGCTGAGGAATTAGGAACCACCCCGGCCCCTCCTGGCAGCCCCCCGGCACGGTCCAAGTCGGCATCGCTGAATGACCTGAAGCCCCAGAACAGCGTCAATGGAGGCCCGCGGCCAGTTGCGAGGGGCAGTTTGACCGGGTCTCAGGTGCATCTTGCAGGCAGAGTAGCATCTCCGCGGGCCAGTCTGAGTCGGCAGGCCTCAGCAACTGGATCAGCAGCTGGGGAGGCTGGGGTGAAACCCAGAGACTACATATTCATGGCTACTCTGTCCTGTTTTTGCCCCATCTGGCCGATCAACATTGTGGCCTTCGTGTACTCAGTCATGGTAAGTGCCAAGGGTTGGGCCATTAAAAGAACCACCAAGTATGTGGATCTTGCAAAATGCTTTCCCTGGCATGGTTAAATGCTGCTTTCCATTTATCCTTTCCACCCAGTCTACCTACTGCTCAGTGGTGGGTTGCATGCGGTACGCCCCGGTACAAGCGTACTGGTGCCTGCCCGGAGCATTGGGTACCGTTCCGGTACGGTGCTCTGGAGGGCCCACCTGCCCGCCCAAGCTCCTTACCTTTATTTGAGCTCTTTGGCGCTTCTGCATACGTGCACGGAGCGCACGGCGCCTGTGCAACACTCCGCCAAGCAGCTGGAGCGTTGCTGAGGCTCACGGAGGTGTTGCAAGAGGTAAGGATGCAAGCGTGCTGTGCACGTTTATGTGGTGGACGCTGGGCCCTGTTGCAACCGTACCAGTTGAAACGGGATCCAGAACCCGCTACTGCTGCACCTACACTTCATCCATACAAGACAAAAGATCAGTACACTTACTCATGCAGGAATGGAACAGGCAGGACAAGTTACTGTATATAAACAGGAAGCAAACTCCACTTTCCCTCACACTGATGATGTTACCTAGTTGGGTAAGGAAATGTCCGCAAACAAAGAACCAAGCTCAGAGAGCAGCAAGTATTCCACAGTTCAACCCTGATCCATAGATACAGGTGGTCCTCAACTTACAACCATTTGTTTAGTGATCATTTGCAGTTACAACAGCATTGAAAAAGTTACTTACAACTGGTCCTCACATTTATGACTGTCACAGCATTCTCACAGTCATGTGATCGAAATTCAGGCACTTGGGAATCAGCATACATTTTCAACCATTGGGGTTCCCCGGGGTCATGTGTCCTTGCTCTTTGTGACCTTCCCAGCTGCCTTTCCAACAAGTGAAGTCAATAGAGAAAGCTAGATTCCCTTAACAACTGCACAATCCACTTAACTGGAGTGATTTGTTTAACAAGTGTGGCAAAATAGGTCCTAAAATCGGGCTCAAGTCACTTAACAACTGCCTTGCTTAACAACAGTTAATTCTGGTCCCAATAATGGTTGTAAGTCCAGGACTACCTGTATTCTTTAAAATTTCAATTTTTGGCTCCTCATGCCAATGGAGAAATAGATCCTACCTGCTTTGTCAAAAAGAATGGACGGTACAATGCTGTGGCTTCCATAAAATTTGCATGTGCTACAGCCGTATGTATGTGCATATATGCCCAAATGAATAAATAAATAAATATATTGTGCAAACAATTCATGTTCAGCTTAGTGGGCAAGGATCTGAGTGGTGGAGGAAGGTTTCCAAAAAGACAAAATGGTGTCTCAACCATGCAATTAATGTACATAAAAAGGGGGGCAGGTTTGATTGCATGGTTCAGGCTGCTATCCTGACACCCCAGTAGTGAGGATGGGCAGATGACTTCTATGCCTGACTGAGAAACTAACTGTTCCAAAAACCCTCTTTTTCTTTCAAAGGCTGTCAATTATATTCATTCACAGCCTGTAATGAGTTCCAAATAGGAGTAAAGAGTTCTACAGCAGGCTGCCAAAGTCCTTCGGGATAAGGCTGATAAGCACCCACCTTTATCTTCTTTAAAAATGCTGCCAAAGACTTAATTGGCAATTAGCTTGGCAAGGCCACACAGAGCAACACTTCCTGCAAATGCTCATGTGCCTTTGCTCCTCCTTTATGTCCTATAGGAGGGGCCAATCACCTCCAAACCTTACTCCCGAGTTGTCCCTTCTGTTTTAACTGTTCTTGTCTTCTGGCAGCTCTGCGCATGCGCGCACTAGGAACAGGCTCCCCCTGTTCCTCTGCCTTGCTACTGTCCAACTCTGCAAGCTCCTGAAGCAGCACATAACTCCCAGATGGCCCTGGCCCCCATCTCTGCCTCTGCCACAGAGCCCTCATCCGAGCCTTCCCCAGACTCTAGGAGTAGCCCATGTTCCGCCCAACCTCCTCGCTGTCCGACTCTGCTGCCAGCTCTGCAGGCCACCGGCGGACCACAATGCTAACTGTTAGCTTCTCCTTCTTGTGGGTCTCTAAATCAAACATGGCCTTTGCAGTCTTCCAATTGGTGTTTTAAAAAAAGCTTTTAATTTAAGTTTTCAATTAGAATAATCAGGTGGGGCAGGAACAAAGTATGCCCCCCCTTCCACTGCCATCTCCAATACAGGTAGTTCTTAACTTACAACCATTCATTTAGTTACCATTCAAAGTTACAAAGGCATTGAAAAAAGTGACCTACTGTATGACCATTTTCACACTTTTTATGACCCTTGCAGCATCCCCATGGTGACATGATTAAAATTTGGATGCTTGGTAACTGGAATGTAAAATGAATCATTGTAAGAACATTCTAAATCAAATCTTGCTGCTGGCTTGATCAATTTTCCTATGGCAGAGTTGAAGTGATTCAGCCAGGATGGTCAATGTTGTGTTCTGTGTGTCCACCAGTGGTGGGTTGCTGCCAGTTCGGGTGAACTGGTAATTCCAGTGAGCAGTTGGCCCTGCCCACCCACCCCTGCCCTATCCTGTCCTATATTTCCATGTTTTTTAGCTCAGCTGATTCGCGCGGCACAGCGGATTGCTGCGCCTCAGCTGTTTTACTCACTGCCGCTGCAGTAGAAGGTAAGTTTTAGAGCTTAAAATGGGTGGTTTTTGAATGCGTGCGCGCATGTGCACATGCAAACAGCGCAATCACCGAACTGGTTGTTAAACTGGTTACAGCCCACCCCTGGTGTCCACTAACCACCACAATGTCAGTGATGTGTGTGTTTTGATTTAAGTAGTGGAAATAGTCAAGATGAGGTTGCTCAGGTGAGCTCTTAAGAATTTAGAATCATTTTTGTATACATGGTGGCGCAGTGGTTAGAGTGCAGTACTGCAGGCTACTTCTGCTGACTGACTGCTGCCTGCAAATTGGCAGTTCAAATCTCACCAGGCTCAAGGATGACTCAGCCTTTCATCCTTCCAAGGTGAGTAAAATGAGGAGCCAGACTGCTGTGGGCAATAGTCCGACTGAAAACCACTTAGAGAGGACTGGAAAGCACTGTGAAGCGGTATATAGGTCTACAGTAAGTGCTATTGCTACTTTTAACATCCTTTTTCTTTTTGCTCCCTCTTCAGTCCCGTAACAGCTTCCAGCAGGGAGACATCGATGGAGCTCGGCGCTTGGGACGGGTAGCAAAGCTGCTGAGTGTTGTAGCCCTGGTCGGGGGCTTGCTCATCATTGTGGCCTCTTGTGCCATCAATTTTGGAGGTGAGTAGCCAGGAAAACACCGCTTGATGGGAGAATTTCTCTAGAGAGTTGTGATGCTTAGATTCTAGACCAGTGATTCCCAATCTCAGCAATCTTAAGATGTGTGGACTTCAACTTCAAGAATTCTCCAGCCAGTGTGCTGGCTTGGGAATTCTGGGAGTTGAAGTTCACCCTTCTTGGTTGAGGAACACTGTTTTGGACTACTTCAGAAGATGATTTCAGAATAAACTGGACGGCTTCAGAAGATGATTTCCCTTCCTTAAAATGGAGTCTACATGGATTCTGTGGAGTAGACCCCACTGGGGAGGACAAAGCCAGATGAGGTACTGTGTTGATTGTGCTGCAACCATTAATGGCTGCTAATGTTGCCCCAAGAGAAATAAGCTGCTATAATTATCATCATCTTCATCATCATAATACATTAAAGAGTTTTGTTATGGCAAGAAGTTACATAATTATGACCCAAAAGATCTACAAAGTCTGGCTTATAGAAATCAGCATTATTAAAACCTGTAGCTGCTCCAAAACAGCTCTTTTGGGGTCAGCCTTTTTTGTGAGGAGGCCTATGAACCAACCAGAGCACTGTGAGACTTTGAGGTAACCAGATAAGATATAATTATCAATATTAATTATAATAGATAAAGGCCCAGTCTAAGACCTTTACTGCTGGTGATAGTAAAAAAGTCAAAATTGCAGTCCGAGCATCAAAGCCACACCCAGTCTATTTATTTATTTCTCACCTTTATTACTTTTATACATAACTCAAGATGGTATACACACACAATATTCCTTCTTCCTCCTAATTTCCCCACAACAACAACCTTGTGAGGTGGGTTGGGCTAAGAGAGAGTGATTGGCCCCAAGTCACCCAGCCGGCTTTCATGGCTAAGGGAGAACTAGAACTCACCGTCTCTTGGTTTCTAGCCTGGTGCCTTAACTACTAGACCAAATCTTTCTATATATCACCTGTGCAGTATAAGAGGGTGGGGCTTTGATCACATGGTCACAACTGCGATTTTGACTTTTTTGACCCTTGCACACCCCTGTATCTCACACCTTCCCTTGATGTAAGGTCATGAATCTCCCCCTTGCTTTTCCTAGTGGTCTTCTGCATGGTTCGTGTTCCAATGAATGCCAGGGGTAGGGAAGTTGAATTGAGCACATGTGAGATATTAATCCCTCATGTTTCTTAACAAATAGTAAATCAATCCCTTATTTTGCTCTTTTTTCCTGTGTTTGTCTTCCCCTCCTTGATTCCTTTGCCCTTGTTCCCTTTTCCTCAAACCTTTCTCCTTCCCAGTGTTTCAGTGAAGGTGGCTNTACAAAATGATGGACACAATAGTCACAAATCAATAATTTAGCAGATATATTAAGCACATCGGTAAGATTTCAACGGCAGAACTGCAAATAAATATGTTAACTTGGTCTTTTGCAGTATCCAACTTTCTATTTCTTGTAAATAACTTAAATAGCTTCCTATTTTTTATTATTATTAAAAGAGTTCTAAAAAGTTGAACAAGGCAAGGAGTTGATGGATCATAAGAGAGCTATCTGGCAGGTCTGTTGACCAATTATCACATTGCCCAGCCCTACGTAGCATTAGGCATGACTGCATTGTGTTTGTATACACATCTTGGATCAGGGGTGTTTAGATCTGGCCCATGGGGCTGACCTGGAAATAACGAAGCATTGGCCCATGGTGCCTCTACCAGCAAAAATGGAGCTTGGGAACCTGTTTTCGCTGGCAGAGGGCTGCAGGAGGCTGTCGCAAGTGGAAACAGAGCTTAGGAGCCCATTTTTGCTGGCAGAGGGCTGCAGGAGGCTGTCGCAGGCAAAAATGGAGCTTGGCAGAGTACTCAACCACCACAGGCACCCCCGGCATGAGTGACATTGAGCTGGTCACACAGCTCTCCTGAGGTCAAACACAACCTTGATGTGGCCTCAATGAAATCGAATTTAACACCTGTCTTAGATTATTGGATGTGATTTAACAGGCCTTTAGGTCAGTGGTGAAATTCAAAAATGTTTACTACTGATTCTGTGGGCGTGGGCTTGGTGGGCGTAGCAGGGGAAGGATACTACAAAATCCCCATTCTGGGGCCAGCCAGAGGTAGTATTTGCCGGTTCTCCAAACTACTCCAAATTTCCACTACCTGTTCTCCAGAACCTGAATTTCACTCCTGCTTTAGGGCCATCTCAGTAAGTGCAGTGCCTATACAGAACATTATCCTATAGGAATGGAATTCATCTTTAAATGCAGGTTTCTGCAAGTTCTGTGAATTGGTGTGAGCTTTAATGCTCAGTGATCCTCAAATGATTACCATGTTAAAAAAATGTGATCTAAATTTCAAAAGATTTTTAGTCATTTCTTCTACATTTTGGGGAATCTGTGACATTACTGGGGAAAAAATTGCTGATCAGCCTTGCAAAGTGTTCTAAATATTCTACATAAAAATTAGCAACTGAGCCCTTTCACGATAGGAAAACAAAACGGCATGTAACCATTTGACTTTAATTTCTGCAGCCTCTTGGGAGCGAAAGAGGTGTCTTGGCAAGATTTGGGTCTTGGCAGAATAGCAGACTCTTTTATCTTCATTCTACTTCCTCCCTTAGGTCTTGTTGACAAAGAGGCTTAATCTGCAGACATCAGCCTATTTTATGGCTCCTCTGATTCATGAATGTTGGCTTCTCCCATATTGAACACATTTATTCTTTCCCCTTGACTGTATGCTCAATTTGCTCGGTCTCCAGAAGTCCATTAAATATTGAGCTAGGAATATTTGCTATATTTATCTTGGCTATTTGTCCAGATCCTTCCATAAATAATCAGAGACTACCAAATTAAGACACTCAATCAGATGATCAGGTATACAGACTTTATTACCACAACCTCTATTCTGTTGAGCGAGAAAGAGGATTTTTTTTTATCGGACGAAAGTTTTACTCTTTAAAAATCTATATACAACATACAGACACTCGTGTTTGAAACGTGCAACACCACCACTGTGGGGCTTAGGAGAGTTGTCAACATTCGCTTTGGAGAAGACAGAGTGAGAACATTACAAGGAATGTCTATGGAGCTTCTCAAGTTATCCAGGTCATGGTTGCCCCAAAGGTGCTTTTTCAAGAGGCAACTGGACTTTCTGTTTTTTGTTTGAAAATGTTTCACTTCTTATCCAAGAAGCTGCTTCTTCTGAAGCGAAACGTCTTCAAAACAAAACAACAACAACAACAACAACAAAACAGAAAATCCAGTTTCCTCTTGAAAAAGCACTTTTGGGATAACATTACAAGGAAGGACCAAAAACAATCATTTCAATTTCAGGGGTCTCCTTGCAGTTTAAGCAAAAGCCAAAACTACATGGTAATGGCATCCTAATTTGGCTCAGCCAAGTGCTTTGCATGGTAGCCTTCATGTTTGGTTCCTTCAATACAGCCACCATGACTAAGCTATGCCTAAGCAGTACGTATCTTTCTTCTATTATGGCCCCCAAAAAATGGGGGTGGTTATGTTATGGATTTCTAATTCTGTAAGTCGCCCAGAGTCACCATGTGTGAGTTGGACCGCCATATAAATTTGTTTAATAAATTAAAAACCTTACCTCCATCCTTGGGTGGGCTGCTGAGGGTTCACAGGGATTCAGGAGAACCCCTAGCTAAGATTCTGTGCAATTTGGAGAACCCCCAAATCCTACATGGCATCGGACCTGGGTACCNTAGAGAGAAAATGTGGATTACTGAAGTGTGTTACAAGTAGAATTTGGGGTAAAAGGTAAAGAAAGAGATGTTTAAAGTACCATGGGAAAAGATGGAAGGAAAGGCTGGTTTGTCAGGGGTTTTATGTTTACACATATAAGTTACTGAATGAAAATCACATAACCCATATCTTTGACATGCTGCTTGATAGATGTTTTCATATTGGGGTGGGCAACGTTTTGGATGCTAACCAATAAAACTTTGGTTTAATATACTATTTGGGGAGGAAAATTAGGGTTTTTTTAATGGGGAAAGAACAGGGGAGACTTTTTTATTCCTTCTTCCCCACCCCACCCAAAGTGTAAGATGTAAATTAATTTCCTGCTTTGTGGAGTATTCATTGTGCTACTTATGATACAAAGCTGAGGAGCCAAAGCAGAATACCTTATCCATTTTGTCCTCTCTCTTCCTGAATATATATGGATAATGAGTTTCCTGTCTATGAGAATCAAATCGTGCCATTATTCTGAAACACAGCCCAGTTTGTTATTTAAATCCACTCTTCCCAAACTGGTATCTCCATAGAGGTGTTCAACTACACATCTCATCAACCCAAGACAAGAGACTTGAAAATTGAATGCCCAACACATTTGGATGTCATCAGGTTAGAGAAAGTTGACCTCTAAGCTGCTCATCAAATATAGTTATGAACTCAAACCTGATCAACAAGTTTAATTATAATTTTGTAAAATATTTTGCTGTTTATTTCCTTACATGTCCCATTTGGCTCTTTTTGACATGATTTGTTCTCATCAATTAAAAGGATTCCAATCAAAACAGGGAAAGGATAGATTGGTCTTGAATCTGGTGCCAATCAACTCTTGGTGAGATTCAGAATTCTGTTCCTTTTGCGGGTTGGGTAGGCTCATAAAATATTATAAAACTTAATACCACTTTGTATAAAGGTGGGTGGGTGGGAGAGTGGACATGATCAAATTATAAACTGCTACAGACTTTTTTGTATCAACACATGAATTGAGTAAATAAACTCAGATGCATGAAGTGGTGTCAAGTGACTCTTCTGAGAAAATTGGGGGACATCCAAGACATGTAACATCACCAGCCTGTGTAAATTCACAACCTTTTAAAATCCACAATGAAAATGAAAAAAAAAGAAAACTCTTGTTAAAGCAGATGTTTATTTCTCACATTGTTCTGTTTCTATGAGTCATGGCCAGCAATTACATAGCCTCGGNAATCCTCTCCTTTGGATCAGATAAGAGATTGTGAATTTATTTGCTGAGTTACTTTGAAAGGCAGAAAAGGCAAAGAGAGTATGCACACACACTCTCACATACAACAGAGGAGTAACTGTACCAAACACCTGCACCCTCACTACAAAGATTGAAAACCCTCAATATTGTGAGGATCAGAACTGAAGCAGGAGAGTGCTAATACAAGTATTTGCTGGAGTGACAATGTAATAGAGAGGGATATATGTTTCTATCCTGTATTTATTATATTATTACTTCTCTGTTGGACAAAGGAAGTTTATAATTCTAATCTGCAGTCAGAACTGTGCTATTAAAAACAAAACAGGGCACCCCTGTTATTGGAAGTGCACAGATCCTAGTCAACATTATCCACGGTTTAAGAGTCAAGTCAAGAAGGAATGTGATAATACCATCTAGTTACTAACAAGCAAAGAAACAAGAGGGCAGCATTCATGATTTTGATTTTCTAAGGGGTGGGGGGAAATCCAGAACAGATGGAAGTTTGCACGAGATTCAGTTTAAAAACCATGACGGGGGAACACCACTATCTTCGGAGAAGGAAAGGCAGCTGGGATGATACGGACCCCTCTTTGGATGGAGAGAAGATCGCACCAAGCCAGAGAGGGACGCTCAGCGGACTCACCAGATGTGATGCAGCAGCACAGGGAGAGAAGGGTTGAATGTCGATGCTTCGCTGAGAAATGTATTCTTGAGCGGCCATATGCTCCATGCAAGCCAGAAAGAAAGATATCTTGAAAAGGGTTAGATAGACAACCACATATGTGATTGGACAGAATCTACTTGAGGGCAAGGTGGGGATGGCAGGGGGTGAGAACAGGGAGAGGGAAGGACACCAGCAAAGAAGTTGTGTGTAGCAGACAGTAAATTTACACCCAGCACAATGTGACTTTTATTGCTTTTTGCCTTTCGTTTTCCTGCAGACTGTTACACAAAGGGGTGGGGTGGGTGGGGACACCGGCAGCCTCATGACAGCCTCCTTTACAATTTATACTTGGGAGAGTGCATGGGGCATTATTTAAGGGGTAGGAGGGTCTGAAACTCCTTCCACTATTAATCCCATCTGCACAATGTACGAGCCTCTGCCCTGTGGCAACCATCCTGCCCAATTAAAACAAGTAAAACCAAAATGGCCCGTTTCTCGATGGATGCATAATGCAGCTGGAAGGGCAGTTTTGATAGAAGGAGTCTTCTCGGCCCTGGGGACCGTTAATCTCTAGGAGGCAGAAGGGAATGGCTGGCAGGGTGGGGCCCAGGGTTGTTGTATTTTGATGTTGAAATGCAAGTATTCTGTCTGCATGTTTTTATATGCTTATATTTGGGGCAGGGAG